ACTCCTGCAAAAGCTCTCAAAGGATTGCACGTCGCTATATAAGTGCAATAATCTTGGACGCGACGTTAAACCCAATTTCACCACCTCACCTCAAAGGATTGCGACTTGTCATCATAAAGGCTCCTGGTGGTTGGGTGATGTGCCATCATGATGGCCTTAGCCTCTCTCGCCGAGTAGCCCTTGGCGCTAAAAGCTCTCTGTAAATGGACCAAACGTGAAGATGTTACCTGTGTGGTTCCGTGTCGATCTGATCTTCTGGACGACTTTGGGAAGGAGTACAGGTGGCGGAAAAGCATACGCTTTTAGTCCTTCCCAGGGGACGCTGAAAGCGTCGACTGCCCAAGCCAGAGGATCCAGCACTGGAGATATGTAGGTCAGGATCTGGTAGTTCTGGCTGGTGGCGAATAGGTCTATGTTAGGAAAACTGTCTCGACAAGCAAGAACGAAGGCGTCTGGGTGAAGTTTCCACTCAGTGGGAGCCACTTTGCCTGGCCGAGACAGGGCATCCGCTAGGATGTTTCGGCAGCCTGGGATGTGGTGGACCTGGAACTGGATCCTCAGATGATCCACCAGGTGAAACAATCGGAACGTCTGTTGAAGGAGCGAAGTGGAATGAGTCGTTCCCTGGTTCCGGAGACACCATACGACAGTGATGTTGTCTGTTGAGATGGAGAGCCGTGTGTGTCTGAGCGCCCGCTTCCAGTGAGTGATGGCCAAGATAAGCGCTTCCAGGTTGAGGTTGTTGATGTGCCATAGGCGCTGATCGGGGGACCACAGCCCTGAGGCGAGGTCGTAAGCCCTGTCAAGGAGACGCCGTCTAATACATTTGATTCCACCGTCCACCACCGGAGATGCTGCTTGAGATGATCCGGGAGGACGATGGATATGGAGGGGTCCTGGCATCTGATGTAGGGCGCCAGGAACATCTGAACTGGGCGCAGTTGGAGCCTTCCTCTGTAGGTCAAGACCTGCGCTGAGGTTAGGAGGCCCAGGAGGACAGAGTGTGTGGTAGGTGGAGAGCTGGAATCAGCTGCGCCTGCATGCACTCCCACCGGTCTCTTGGTACAGAGAGGAGGTCGAGGTCCGTCTGAAAGAAGCGCCCGATGAACTGAAGGTGCTTGGAGGGTGTCAACTCTGACTTCCTGAGGTTGATCTTCCACCCCAACTGGTATAGGAGTGGAAGGGTGAAGTCCCTGTGGCGGAGTAGAGTGACAGGGTCCCAATGGTCCAGCAGGCAGTCGTCTATGTACGCCTCGAACTGGATGTCCCGGCGATGGAGGTAGGAGGCTATCGGCTTGGTAAGCCTTGTGAATAGCCAAGGGGCCGAAGAAATTCCAAACGGGAGGACCGCCCATTGATAATGGACTCCCATGAAGATGAGGGGGAAATTTCCTGTCGTCGGGATGTATAGGGACGTGTAGGTAGGCGTCCTCGATGTCCAGGCTGATGAGTGCCTCCTGCGCCTTGATCTGGGATCGCAGTAGCCTGAGTGTGGTCATCCTGAAGTAAGGGGGACGCGCCAGGTAGCGTTTGTTGAAGGCGCTGAGGTTGTGGATCATCCTGTGCTTGTCCGAGTCCTTCTTGGGGACCAGGAAAACAGGTGAATAGAAGCCCAGTATTATGGCTGGGGCATGTATAACCTCTATAGCTTTCTTGTATAGCAGCGCCGTGATGTTACGGCTCAGAAGCTGCTGTTGGGTTGGGGGGTATGTGTCCACTATGGGTGACGAGGTCAGTGGCGGGTCGTCTACAAGCGTTAGCTTGTACCTATGTTGGATGATGTTGGTGACGTATGGGTCCACCAGGATCTCCCAATTCCGCCAGAATGGGGTGTCGACAACTTGGACGGCTGGGGGTGGGAGGTCCCAGTTGTGTCTGTCCGGCGGTTCACTGGGGGTCCCTGCAGCTGGCGTTACCCCTCTTGGGGTAGCCACGACGGGTCTGGTATGAGCCTGAGGACTTTCCTTTCCCCTTGCCTCTGCCTCGAGAGGTTGAGGTGGCGCCCCGCCCCCAAGCCCAGAGAGAGTTGCATTGTGGTTGGCAAGAACCCGCCTGGGACGCCTTAGTCTGGCCGTGACACCCTGGCCAGGGCCTTGAGAGCCGTCTCATCACGGGCGAAGGCTGAGACCCGGGCGTGTGTCTGGGATATCTGTCCATTAAAGAGGTCAGAGCCAGACCAGGGTTGACGCAAAAGGTCTCTCTTGAACTCTGGGTCCCAGTTGGACAAGGCAAGGTACCAAAGGCGTCTAGTGGTAGTGAGCTTGATCAGAGCAGCGCGCATGTAGGAGCGCATCTGTTCCACCTGTTGTTGGAGGTAGGATACGACGGAACTTAGATGGTCAATCCTATGGGGGTTGTCCTCCACTAAGTCCTGCAGTATGGCCCTAGAGGACGACGCCATCAGTGGGGTGGTAGTGTGTGGCGAATCTCGGTCTCCACATAGGCGAGTTTGTTGTCGGAGACTCGGACTGAAGTGGAGCGGTTCGATCCCGTCATGCGGTGCATGTCCTCATCTAAGGAGTGAGCGTGGTCCGCAACTTGAAGAGAGTAGACTGGGAAGTCATCTCGTTTATAACGTGGGGCCCTGAAGGACGGAGTCAGTGACAGCTTACTGAAGTCCTCGTCCAGAGCTAAGATCATGTCTCTGATCAGTGGGTCAGGAGGGATCGAAGTGGGGTCCGCACGAATGGCCGTCTTGCTATCGACCTCTAGGCCGGGCAAGGGGAGTGATAGCCTCCAATTTGTCTGCCAACCAGTCTGTGACCTTGTCAAAACCCAGAAGGGATCCACCGTCCATAGGGGTGTCGTCATAACAAGGGATGAAGGCGCCCTCCCAGGAGTCGGATCGATATCTACTGAAGCGCCTGCTAACCGGGGAGCGGCTCCTAGATCTATGACCTTGTCTAGAAGATCTGCTGTCACTCCGCCGTGAGGACGTACTAGGCAAGGGCGCGGGTGTCTGCATGGACGCCGTACAGATAGGCGCCATCTGAAAGGCCACTAGAGGAGGCGTCTGCGGAGGCGCTATGAGAGGCGCTTGTAGAGGCGTCTGTAAAGGCGCTGGCGTCGACGGCTGTCTAGCCTGTAAGTACTGAATGTACTGGAGGAGGGAGGCATCTATCATGGGCATTTGTGCCATAGGCGGGGGCGCCTGTAGGAGACCGAGCGTCTGTGCCATAGGCGGGGGCGCCTGTAGGAGACTGAGCGTCTGTGCCGTAGGCGGGGGCGCCTGTGGGAGACCGAGCGTCTGTCCGAAGGATGGTATAGGCGCCATCTGGTACGTGAGTGCCACGCCGGGCGTCAAAGAGGTCATCGCCGCAAAGACAGACGCTGTCGTGGTTGTCAAAGTGCTCTGGGTAGAGACCACAACCCTGGGGTCCGACATCAAGGTAGCAGTTGAGGTCGGGGGGGGTCACCCGAGATGGTCGATCTGGAAGGCGAAACCTCAGAGTGGTCTGACATCGTGCGCCAGTGTTTCCTAGCCTGCTGTGTTCTGCGTTTATTATACACACGGAGGTACTGTCTGAAAGCTGTGGGTGAAGGAGTCTTTACATCGGTGACCTTGGAGGAATTGAGATGTACAATTAAGGCACAGGGGTGGGGATCCCACACCGACATAATGCGCCGGCACTTTGAGCAGGAGGGCATGATATCTGCAACGAAGCAGTGTAAAATCACAATGCGATTATGTATGCTATAATTTGTTTATCCCACTATGTGGGTTTATGAAACAAATATTACGACAAACATAAGACAACATACAACAAACAAACAATACGTGCGATGATACGCCAATCGTGGGGTACCAAGCAAAAGAATATAGAACGCAAACCAGTTCATTCTAATGGCTGGCTACGCAAGATATTCAAGATGGCTACTAGGAGCAACAAGACACCTGGCCTGATGTTTTCTTTCGAGAAAACGCCAGTAAGTGTCTAATTAAGTTATGCACATGTTTATCAAACATAGAATGTACAAAATACAAACCGTAGGCACAACACAAAGACAAAACAACATTAACTCAGATAGCAAACACGTGAGGGTTTGAATCAGTTTTATGTTACAGGAAGAAAAACAGGTCTTCTCTCATCAAGTGACAAGAGTAATGTGATGATCCATGACATCACTTCCTTTGGTCACGTGGGAGCTGCGTGATGGGCTGGCCTCTCAGCTAGTTGGAGCAACTTCTTCAAGCAAAGACCCTCACACAGCTCTTTTCTCTGTCAAGAACAAGCAGTAATATGCATTAAGGAGTAATGCAGGATAAGTAAAAAATATGACAAATATGTACACAATACTGCAAATATTTCGTAATTTTGACTGTCAGCATTTAAAATGGGTGGATGGCAAATCTGACAGCATGTACGTGTATTTCTCTAGATACAGATGTAGCATTAAGATCTGAACCGTTTCCATGTTATGATCCAGGATAAATCATATTAAAGGTATTAATCTCTTCATAACAAACAAATGTATACAATGTATCTGTTTATTATAGGGTGGGGACAATATCAGTTTGCATGTTATGGTCAAGGTACGTGGGGATGCTTACAACCAAATATGGTTGATATCTATTTCTTAGTTTCAGAGAAGTTGTTTAAAGCAATATAGCCAAATTACCCCTATTTGGCCAAGCGCCTCAGCCCCTTGAGGAGTCAGCCCCATCATTTGTACAATTTTGAATCCTCACTACCGGAGAATGCTTCCAACCAAATATACACTATACCACTTAATACAATAATCATAGCTATCTTTCCATATCACTTGTCACTTCAAAGTGGAAGTGGAAAATAAAAATTAAGTTTACAAAATGACTGATGACTCCCTGATGGGTGGTGGTCAGTGCACATGACTTAACCAAATGTCCAAATGAATTACAAATGGCCCCTATAGGAGGGTATTAGAACTTTCAGCACACCCACTGGTACATCATCATCCATTGTAGCAAACTTTAATGGGCCAAATAATATCTGATACTGAATAATAAATAATTGATTTACCAAATAGTTGTTAGAGATTCTATGAGCCTCAATATCATTCTCAGCATGTGGGAGTATCACGCAACTGCTTTCAAACGCAGTCAAATCTCTCCCATCCTCATCTTTGCTTGCTGCATTTGACTTGCGGGACTTGCCATGGCCCTGTAGTGTGCTGTCTGATGAGAAGTCCATCACTGAGTCAGACTGACCACCTGCCGCTTCGCTTTTTCTCTGATCAATGGATGCCATCTTGTCTCAGTTGAGTTGAGCAGGTGATCAACTTTCACTTTTACTTACAGTCCTTAAAAACAATAACACAACATTGATAAACAGAGTAATTACTATTTTACTACGAATAATATATTCTGATATCATGTTATTTTAATTGCAGGTTTTACTATATATCTTCAAAATAATGATAATCATAACTAGTGTTAGGCGATAGCACTCAAGGGAATGGGGACGAAACATGTTCTCACGATGTCCCACGATCATATCAATATCCTTTTGTTACCAGACAAATAACACTACCTGTAAATTCCAAATTGTAACTGAGATGCTAATTGGTCTTGAACATTATATATAAGAATATGCTCAAGAAATGTAGTTTGTTATTGAGCTTGATCAGTGTTTCTATATGGCATGCACTCACTGAAATTGATTCAAGTTCAACAATATCTGTTATGTCCTGTCTGTTAATTAATCCAAGGCTAACGGGACTGATGCTCAAACTCAACCGGTCCTTACTTTTGCCACAGATTGTCTACAGTACAATCAGACTTTCATCAGACTAGGTGGTGAATTGTTGATGAGATGAATGCTACTGTGACCCATAAACATTCAAAGAACTTTGCACTGTGACACTAATGAAACTAACTTGTCTAGACATTCGAGTCAACAGTTGAAACCTATGTCAATCCAATAAACAAATATCAAACAATACTTATCATTGTGTATTATGTAATAGAGGTAGTATTCTTAGAATTATACACAATGATAATTATTGTTTTCATGATTTCTTTCAAATACCCTACCTCAATTACATCATAGTCAGTATACACCAGAGGGACTGATTGGATCTGGCATTTAGTATCCCTATATAGATGGCATTTGTGAAGGAGGAATACATATGTACATGTATGCATTTTTAAAAAAAATGAAATGATTTGCCAGTTATATTGAGCTTCGAGATTAGGCATTTATGATGTCACCTTACTTTGGGATGAGTCAGTTTGTAGCCTTTTTGTGATATTTTTGTGACGTCTCTTCCGGTTTGAGGTCAATTTCTGACATCACTTCCTGTTATATAACCACTTCTAGGCTTTATTATTTGACATCACTTACTGATAATGTCACTTCCGTTTTGCCCTTGGATAGTGATATTTAACATATATTTTGACATTATTCCAGTACATATGTCTCCTGATGTCACTTCTGGAGGTAGTACAATGATACATCCCAGACTATCATGTAGATACCTTATATATCAACTTAAATCCCTTCCATCTCTGATTCCAGTGTTGCCAGTGATCTGCCCACTCACTTAGCAGACTAGGGATCAGATGGCAGACTTACCTTGAGTTCTTAGGTACTTCTGGTATCTATGACATCCCCCTCCTAAGTTCCCAAAAGAGTGAGTGAGTGAGTGAGTGAGTGAGTATGGTTTTACGCCGCTTTTAGCAATATTCCAGCAATATCAGCGGGGGACACCAGAAATGGGCTTGACACATTGTACCCATGTCAGGAATCAAACCCGGGCCTTCGGCGTGACGAGCGAACGCTTTAATCACTAGGCTACCCGACCGCCCCAGTTCCCAAAAGAGGAGGGGCGGCAGGGCTACTTGGTCAACATAACCTGGGACCCAGTAATTATAGTCCTTCCAGGTAAGTTTGAACGTCACGCAAGTAAAAGTTTGAAAACATAGTGTGGGATTTCCAGTGACAGCTTGCCACCATTTGTGAACTAGATAATCTTTGTTGAGTACTTTCAGGTTGATTGTCATGCGCACTTCCGATGTATTTTTTCTTCAGAAACAGGAAGACTGGTGAGTAGAATCCGGGAGTGGTTCTTCTAATGCGCTGATTGTTCCCTCATCTTGTAAATTGTGCATGGCCAAGTTCGAGGTTTCTAGCTTGATCCCTGTCAGATGGAAACGGCATCCTATAAGGTGAATTACAAGACTTGGTCGTGGTACAAAATTGTACTCCTCCTTCTTACTCCTCATAGCCCTCATGTTCTAGCAACGACTTGCTAGGTTGTTGCTCCATAAAGTCGGTGGTACAATTCCTCAAAAATGTCTTTGATTGTGTAATCATTAGGTTTAAAGATCTCAGGAATAGATTCTATTTCACGATACAGAAGTACACAACCTAGGCAAGCTGCACTGATGCGAGCTGTGATGGCGTGGAGTAGTATTATTTCGGCCGACAAATCTGTGGCTAGAGGAACATGCCGTATCACAGGAGTGAATTTGTGATGTACTATCACGTACACCTGGCAGGACCGTGCAACGGTATGAAATGGAGCACACTTATGAGGTCTTGCACCACTTACACAAGAATCTCTTTCAACACGTTTTGTATCATGGTGACATCTAGGTGGAGAGTGGTATCTTTCTCCACGACCACTGCGATGGGATGCCCATGACGCATAATCTTCCTCATGATGAGTGTGGTAAGATGGGGATCTTCGAGATTCACGATTACTGCTGATAGACCTATTTATGGTGCTCATAATTTCCTAACTCTGCTTGCCTGGGTGCAAAGTAGCTCCTAGATGATACCATGTCATACTCCACTGATGATCACATAGATTTAGGAGATAAACATACTGTGTTTTCAATGTAGAGCTAGGTTACCTGTAGATTTAACCCCGCTAAATTAAATTTGGAACCGAACGCGCAGCGTGAGGTTTCAAATGTTAAATTTAGCGCGGTTAAATCTATTGGTAACCTAGCTCTACATTGAAAACACAGTATATTTATCTCCATTCTACCATGACGAAATAAAACGCAAACTCTTTGGTGTCAGCAAATATACTGAGTGAAGCGGCATGGGTTCAGTTCAGTGTTTTGAGGGGGTTATTGATCTGAATTACAGAATGACCGAACAAAACATGGTGCTGTATATACTCAAGCAGTTTGTTTACACCGTAATACTTCACTCGAACATATGACAGGCACTGAAAGCATATAAGCACGGCAACTTGGTAAGCTAACATGAGGTGGGCATCCCTAAAGAAAACAAAGCAAGCTTTGCAAGGCTTTTGCTCTACATCGCACGTCACCATTATGATGTCATATCGCTCATTGTGATGCAAAACATATGACGTCACAGTCGTATATAGAAAAGTGCCAAAATTTCAAGCTCTCTGTTGTCTCCAAAACGTAAATACATTCCCTTTGTTGATATCTGTTGTGTTTTTCTGCATGAAATGTATTGCCACACATCCTTTGAATATTGTAGTAACCGCATCTGTGCATTTTGTAACCTGTAATTGTAGATATAGTTATTTAAATATGCCTACCGACAATGACTGAAAATAGTACTATTCTATGAATATTAGCTTCCGCGGTGATGTGGCCGTTCAACCATCTGTTTCAATCAGAGGGGGTTTATTGTGATTTAATAGCCTCTGATTGACCAATCAGAATCGAGTAACTTCCAAATTCATGGTAGAATTATTAATATCCTTTGGTTGAGAGAATGATTTAGGTGCAATAGGATGGAAAACTTATTGTCTATCATTTCTGTCAGGGATGATGTGATTTTGTTTGTTAACTCATTAAGGATAATGGGGGAAGAGGGGCATCAGCTGGAGCATAGTTTCTTATTTTAAGGCTAGAGGATCCACCGTAGATTTCAGTGGCCTCTTGCAAACCAGAAAGGTATGTCTGCTCCTTTACCAATATGAGAGGGTGGGATGAACAGAGCGATCTGCCCTCAAAAGGAGAGATTGTGCCCCTGTGTTTATCACCAAAATGTTTCGCAGTGGTGGGTACAAAACCAGATTGAATCACTTTCCCCTTCTTATCAGTAGAAGTAGTCATAGATGACCTGGTACTTCTAGAAGAATCACAGTTTGTATGCCATGCCATGGAAATCTTTTCAAACTTTCCTCTCGCTAATTTATTGCAATAGTTGCATCTTGAATTTGGTATTCATGTGCTCTTCCTGTATGGCTGGCCTCACTGATGTGGATCACCGATCTTTGCCGCGGGGTGGTCGAGTAGCCTAGTGGTTAAAGCTCGTCATGCCGAAGACCCGGGTTCGATTCCCGACATGGGTACAATGTGTCAAGCCCATTTCTGGTGTCCCCCGTCGTGATATTGCTGGAATATTGCTAAAAGCGGCGTAAAACCATACTCACTCACTCACTCATCTTTGCCGCACCTTGAGCATACACTAGTCAGCGATGGGGATGAAGGCTTCATCTCCCTAAATACGTTTTCTAAACTACCTACTTACTAGATCTTCTTAAGCCCCTGATCTGCTGTAGACTGCTATTTAAGATGATGTGAGTGGACTTTACAGTGTGAAACAGCAACCAAAACATGTTCAGATTTGAGTAAAGATTTTGACTTTGTTGACACACAGGAAAGAAGTGATTTCCCGCCTTGCACATTTGCAGTTGCATTTCCTGCAGAGGATAGGGTTTTCCTCACAACTATCAGACATGTTGGCAGTGAAGAGCACCTCTGTTGATAATTTATAAAATCTGATAGTGTGATTGTCTGCGTAAACAGGAATTTATGGCTATGATGTAATAGAGGTTGGGAAATCAAATAAATACTTCTGAAACAAGAAATAATAGTATGAATAGCGAATGCAGTTCACAACAGGCAAAGTCATTCGCACATGAAGTGAGCTCTATAGGCAGTACATGTGTATATGGTACATGACATGTTTCCTAGGTTTAAAGAGTAATCATGGTAATTACAGATTGCAGGATATAGCCTTCCAAGTTAAAAAACTTTGTTTCCAGTCATGATCACATGGGCCGACATCTTACAGGAAGTTTATCTTAACTAATAACAAACATCAAATTTTCTGATTGGTCAATAACTGAATTCAGGGGGCACGGGTGGCCCAGTCGTCTAAGGCACCGCGATTCACTGTGCAGAGTTGCGTCCCTTGGGCACGCCAGAAACCTATGTTAGTGGGTTTGGATCTCGGTTCTCCCCAATTATGTTTCTAGGTTTGTCAGCACCATACCCATGCTTGTGGGTTTCACCGAAGTGGTAAACGTCTGAGACCTGCATCACTTTGGGCTTTCCTCCAACATTAAGCTGACACGCCGCAATATAACTGTAATACTGTTAAAAGCGGTGTTAAACCCATCTCACTCACTCAAAAACTGAATTCAAGAATATTAAGTTAAAATATCTTGAAGGAATTTCTGACTGACATCAAATTGCATTGAGCCTCGCACATGATTTGATATCAATCATAGATGGTAATCCATCCAGCAATACTGAATGGATGGCATAACTTTAGTGCCACAAAAACTACATGTCACAAAACCCTATGATGTTAGCCAAGCAACAAGAAAGCTGGAGTCATGGTGTGTCGTAAGCTCCTCACACTGGAACAGTGTCCTCACAAGCCAAGTGACCGAATTTTAAAAGTGAAGTTTATAATTTTCAGAATAGAATAACTGAAAATAGCCATTCCACAAGCACCAGTCCAAAACATTTGTTTTGTCACTGTTTTTTATTTATTGTGTCTGTGAGGATTCAATATATCAAGTTGTATATATTGATGGAATTTAACATACACGCTATATTTTGATAAATAACTGTGTCACGCATGGCTCTGTAGCTCATCTGGATATGTAGTCAACAAAGGGGACAGCCAGCCACTAACCAAAAGTTGGTATCAGAACGGACATATAAATCTTTTCTGCATAAATACTGAGGAGTTGAACAAATCGTGATGTTATCCTAAGAAGGAAAAATATATACAAAACTTATGCTCAATCAGTCATGTCAGATTTTGTTAATACATGGCCAAATTTAAGGTCCCAAATATATTTTGATAATTTGTGATCAAATTAAATCTGCATAATCCAGATTTTCTACACTTCAGATTCTAGACTAAAATTAAGTACAAAGGACTAATTCATCATGTAATTGATGCGCCCTATAATCAGGATGAACTTTTCACACATCTCACTTGCATGTCCGGTAGGCTGTTTTCAGCCACAAACAATCCGTTTACAACATAGATTTATGTAAGGAATGGCCTCGCCTTAGCAGTAACATAGCTTTGATGACAGAAAACATATCTATATGTTATTACCATGGAGTTTGTCACTACATATTTGGTACAGTAATTGCTACAATGGCAAATTGGGTCATAAATGGGTTCATATGAGCATGAAGTGAGAATCTGTCTTATTGTCTTATGAAAGAAGAAGCGCTTAACATATCCTTCAGAATTAGGGATTGGTGATCTTAAAGCAACCCATAGATAGTCCACATCTTTCTAAGAAAACCAAACTTAACATTGAGCAGCTTTAAGTAAGTGATGAAAGGGATGGGGTGAACACCAGGATTGTTGATGACTTCAAAACTTGTTTACAAACCATATTCTGTCTGAGAATTTCACTCGTCTGAAACTTCAGCAGTTCTCTAACTACAACAATACACATTTATAAATCAATGATTTATGAAATAAACTGTATTCAATCTTAATTCTTCATATCCTGCGAGAGATGCCAAGGGTCCTAACTTTTCTTTGAATTGATTTCCCCCTCAGCTGGATTGTAGATTCCCCAATACCTGTGTGTAATACACAATCCAAGTTTAATACCCCAATACCTCTGTTGAAAAAATACACAGAAAGTATGTTTCAAGCCACGAAACAAGTTGTTAAAGGGAGGCAATCATATTTATTATTATTGTTGTAAGCAACTTGTTACTGACGCTCAAATGTCAAAACAGGAGCGAATGATCTTGTGAGGGAAATGGCTGATACTGGAAATTTTATTATAAATTACAATTTATATACTTATCCCATCTCACACTTTGCATTTCTCCCTTCTACTTCGATCCTATGTTTCAGAAGCTGGAATCATGTTTCCAGCTTCTGAAAATAAAAATAGCCACTCAAGGCCCCCTGCATCTCCATGGTTATGTC